TTTCAGGATGAAGAGCGATGACATCTAGAATTCAAAATATTCCAGCAAGTAAAAAGGGAGTGGGGGAAGACAGAAGAATAGCAAAGTATCAATAGTTATTGAAACTACTTGAAGAAATAGCCTCACAGTGATGTTCTATCCATTTTTCTATGTTCAAATTTTCCCTAAAAGTCTGTAAAAATCATCTTCCCGAAACAGAAATCTGATCATATGACTTCCCTCACATTTTTGCTGATTTTTCTGGTGCCCAAACAGTCCAGTTCAAACCCAACTGCAAACAAATTTCTTCTTAATCTGTCACATCCTTGGTTCCCTGCAAATGGTCAGGTTCTATACTTTCCCCAAGCCTGAGGGTTTGTATACTCTTATCTTTGTACATGTCCCCTCCTTTGGATCCCCTGGATTCCTTAACTAAAGTGAATCCTCTGTAATATGACTTCTATGCTAGCTACTGCATGAAACAAATTAATTCTCTAATTCTGAAAACCCTAAATTATATAAACTCTTCCTCCAGAAGAGTTTCCAAGCTTTGTAACTTTAAAACTGAGCCTCTATACCAACCAGTTGTCGCCTCACTGCTAGAACAATCTGTACCTTCCCTATTGTATGTTTTGCCCATCATCTACCAGTGCTTCCTGCTGTTTGGTGGCTGTTACAGTTGTCACCACAACTGGGTGGCAGTCAAGGAATTGCAACAACTCTAGAAAAGTAAAGCATAAGCACAGCAAAAGAATTTTGGGGGAAAGTCTCCAATTTGAACTCAACACTGTAGAGAGTTTCTTTTACAAAAAATTTAAAAGTTCAGAGTACTTTGCTTCAATTTAAAAGCCATACTTATTAAAGGCGGTGTAAATTTTAAAAATTGGTGGGTCTCCCTGGTGGCGCAAGGTTTAAGTCTCAGCACTATGAAGCTATCAGCAGCCACTGCAGCAGGAGTTCAGTCCCCGGCCAGGGAGCTACATCCACATGGAGCAGCAGACCTCTCCTGTCTTGCCTGATGCTCCCCTCAACAATGTATTTCAGTAGATCTGCCTGTTCTGTTCCCCACTCTGTCTCTGATGAATCCTCTCATCCTCCATCCCCTGCACCTCTGGCCTCCACCCCAGCTCTTGTGTGCGTAAATAAATAAAATAAATCTTAAAAACAAAAACAAAAACAACCTGGTAATTCCATTCCTATTACATGGATTTCCAGCTATAGCCCAAAATTTACAATAGTGATTTTGAGTGCAGCTGCCTAGCTCTGTCATTACTAATAAGTGGACTTGAACTAGTTACTTAGCTTAGCTAAACACCAGTTTCTAATCTTATTCCATATAAAGTGCTAACTATTATAATCATAATAGCTAGTAAACAGGAGATGCTTCTATCATTGTTATTATTACACTGTTAACAACCACTACACACGGTCATGAGTGGATCCTAAATACTGTTTTCGCCATTTATTTATATATATATTTTTTAAGATTTATTTATTTATTTATACAAGCACTGGGTACAGTCAGAAGTGTGGGAGGGCGAGAGGATTCGCCAGAGCGGAGAGCAGGACAGACAGACTGACAAAATACACTGCTAAGGGGAGCAGCGGGTGCAGCAGGAGAGGTCTGCGCACCATGTGGGACCCTCGCCAGCAGCCAGGGATCTTACTGGCTCTGCAGAGGCTGCAGGCAGCCTCCCAGCCCAGCATTCAACCACTGCGCCACCGGGGGGGGGGGGGGGGGGGGGGGGGTCTGTTCTGGCCATTTACAAAATTTAAGTGTTTTTTAAAAATGTGACTGAAATGGAAATTCTAAGGAAAGGAGGGAGAAATATTCATATTCAGTTTTTAAAAACTTCAATAAGTAAAAATCTGTTTCTTACGAGAAAAACTCACTATATGAGAAATTTTCACTATTTCATTCTAAATTCAAAAATCTCTACTAGTATTCTAAAAAAAAAAAAAAAGACAATTATTTCTACTATAAAAGAAGACTCTAAGGGTAAAAGCAAGAAGTTGAATTAGAGTTGGTTCAATATAAAAAGAATTTATAAATGAAATATACCTGGAAAAACAAAGTGGAAAATTCTTACAAGATTCACAAATAAAGTCAACTCAATTACTTGTGAATAAGAGAATCAAGGATAAAACAATTAACAACTCTATAGAAGAAAGCCTTTTTTAAAAAGAATTATTACTTTACTGCAAGTAATAATTCTTAATTTTATTTATTTTGCCTAAAAGAACTGGGTGTACACCAAAGGTGTATAGGGTGAGAGGATTTACCAGAGACAGAATGGGGAGCAGAATAAACAGATCTACTGAAATATACTGCTAAGGCTCCTTAAGAGGAACAGTGGGCGAGACAGAAGAGGTCTGCTGCTCCCTGGTTAGCTCCCTGGCTGCGGCTGAACTCAGGCCATTGTGGTGGCAGTGCTGAGACTTAACCCGTAGGCTACCAGGGAGGCCAAGAAGAGAAACCTTAAATCAAAGTTTCATCAAACTTTTACACATTAGTTTTATAATATCCCATTCTAGCCCACTATCAAATCTTTTCCCAAACTGTTAGTATGTTTGACTTATCTGAGGTTCCCTATGTCTGTTTTCTTACTCAGCCTCAGGAAGAGCCACTAAAAAGCAATAGGTAGCTAAAATTGAAGTGGGAACAGAAGAAAAAACAGTAGTCCCAAATAATCAGACCTATGGATGATGTTGAAATGTATTATAAAATGAACTACAGATTGTTTCAACTTTAATAAGCAGAAAAATGAGACAGAGGAAATATGTCAAAAATGCAGATTAATAGATTCAATGCTATTCCAATCAAAATCTCAATGGCATTCTTCAAAGAAATAGAACAATTATTGATGAAATTCATATGGAATCACCAAAAACCCCAAATAGCCAAAGCTCTACTGAAAAAAAAAGAAGGAAATGGAGGCATCACACTCCCAGACTTCAAACTCTACTACAAAGCCATAATCATCAAAACTGCATGGTATTGGCACAAGAACAGACATACAGACCAATGGAATCGAATAGAAAATCCAGAAATAAACCCACAGATTTATGGTCAACTAATCTTTGACAAAGGAGCAAAGACTATGCATTGGAGCAAAGAAAGTTTGTTCAATAAATGGTGCTGGGAAAACTGGGTCGCTACATGCAAAAGAATGAAGCTTGACCACTACCTCACACCATACACAAAAATCAACTCAAAATGGATTAAAGAACTAGACATAAGACCTGAAACCATAAAATACATAGAAGGAAATATAGGCGAAACACTACGTGATATGCACATCAAAGACATCTTTACAGACACATCACCCAAAGCAGTGATAGTGAAGGCAAAGATCAACAGCTGGGACTACATCAAATTAAAGAGCTTCTGCACAGCAAAAGAGACAATAACAAAAACAAAGAGAAACCCCACCAACTGGGAGAACATTTTTGCACCCAACACTAATGATAAAGGACTGATCACAAAAATCTGCAAAGAGCTGATGAGACTCAGCAACAACAAAGAAAATAATCCAGTCAAAAAATGGGCAGAACAGCTAAAAAGAAACTTCTCTGAAGAGGAAATGCAAATGGCCAACAGACATATGAAAAAATGTTCAACATCACTTGTAATCAGGGAAATGCAAATCAAAACTACCATGAGATACCATCTCACACCAGTGAGAATGGCACATATTAAAAAAACTAGCAACAACAAATGTTGGCAAGGGTGTGGAGAAAAAGGAACTCTTCTGCACTGTTGGTGGGAGTGCAAACTGGTCCAGCCACTATGGAGAGCTGTGTGGAGATTTCTGGACCTACTAAACATAGAGCTTCCATATGATCCAGCAATTCCACTCCTAGGTATTTACCCAAAGGACACAGAAACATCAATTCCAAAGAGCACCTGCACCCCTATGTTTATAGCAGCACTGTTTACAATAGCTAAGCTTTGGAAACAACCCAAATGCCCAAAAATAGATGACTGGATCAAGAAGATGTGGTACATATATACCATGGAATATTACTCAGCATTCAAAAAAGATAAACACATGCAATTTGCAGCAACATGGATGGCACTGGAAGGGATCATGCTCAGCGAAATAAGCCAAAAAGAAAAAGAAAAATACCGGATGGTCTCACTCATAGCAGGAATCTAGAAAACTTAAATAAGGGACCAGGAAAATGAATATAAGGAAGTGAAAATCAAAATCAACAAAAAACTATGAACCAGAGACACTTTTGGGGGGTGGGGGGCGGGAGGGGAAGGATTGGGGTCAGAATGGGGCGTTTGCAATTGTATGGGGGAATATAAAAATAAAATTTATTATTTAAAAAAAAAAAAAAAAAAAGCAGATTAAATATAAAAGCATGCCCTGTATCTCTTAGAACTAACATTGTGAGTAGCACAAAAATATTCTTGGGGTATACAAAAGTAAGATGCTCACATCAGGGACCAACAAAAAGCTCTGTCATGACTTTTAGTCCCCTCCACTGTCATTTATTCTTTTTTTTTTTTTTAAGATTTATTTATTTATACAAGCACTGGGTACAGTCAGAAGCGCGGGAGGGTGAGAGAATTCACCAGAGCCAGAGCGGGGAGCAGAGCAGGCAGAAGGACCGAAGTACACTGCTGAGGGGAGCAGCGGGTGGCAGGAGAGGTCTGCGTGCCATGCGGGACCCTCCTCTGGTGGCCGGGGAGCAGCCGAGGATCGAACCGGTGCAGCAGAGGCTGCGGACAGCTTCACAACCCAGCGCTCAACCGCTGCACCATCGGGGAGGCCCCATTGTCATTTATTCTTAATGGAAAATATTATTAACCAAGTCTAAACTTAATAGGTTAGCTACAGAAAGAAGAGTTTGTGAAAAACAAATGAAAGCATTCTGTGAGACTCAAATACTTATACACAATTTACAATAAGAATATTGTATAATTATAATTTGCAAATTCCCTACTGTACATATTAATATTTATGAATTTATGGCAACTGTAATTTTAAAAATATGATAAAACATAATACCTGAATATCTTTCTTGACTGGCTTAGCTTTGTTTTCTGTCATTTTGTTCCTAAACTCGAGAAGAACTTCTTTGCAGTCCTCCAGATGAACCTCGGGTTCCCAGGTGTCATCGTCTGCTGAGTATCCTTTCCATCGAACTTTGTAAAGGATTTTACCATGCTATATAAATTTAAAACAGGAAAAGTACATTAATAACTTGATTGCATTTCCAAAGACATAAAAAAGCTGAAAATACATATGCAAACTTAAAAACTGCTTGTAAATGGAAATTAGTATCTTTATAATATGTTAATCTCCTTAAGCAAGTGATTTAAGATAAAAAAGCATTACTGATTTATTTTTCATGAATTTAACATTGGTCTCTTTTCTGATTACACAGGTAATTGCATAATCTTTGCAAATTAGTGAAAAACAGGAAAAAACAAGTAAAAGTCAACCAGATATCTGATAACCATCCAATCTACTGTGTTTATCAGTTACACTTACAAATATATATTTAATGTAGATTCGTAAAACCAATGGGATAATACTGTCATTTTTCTCTTGCCTTTTCACTTATATCAAGTACTTCTTGTTTTAATACTTTTCAAACCATGATTTTTAGTGACTGAAGATTATTTCATCATATAAAATACAATAAAATTTCTTTTTTTGTTAACCAAAGGTTATTTTGATAGTTTCCTAATCTGTTTTCATAAAGCCATAATATATCTGCATATCTGATTAAATTCCCAAGAGAGATCAATGAAGTCAAATAATACAGCCATTTAAAAACTGTTAAAATACACTGTCAAATGGATTCCACCAAAGATGCTCCAATTTGCACTTTCACCACAAACAAGAGCCCATCTCTCTGTATCAGCAAACTACATTGCATCTCTCTATACTGCAAACTACAGCAAGGCCTGCCTCCTATTTTTGCTCAACCCGTGAACTATGAATGGTTTTACATTTTTAAGTGGTTCAAAACAAACAAAAGAATTGCATTTATATCAAGTGCCTTACAATGTATCATGCATTGCCAAAATCCCTGCATTTATTAGCAACATAGCCCCCATGAAGCACCACTACTCTTTTTTTTTTTTTTAAGATTTATTTATTTATACAAGCACTGGCAACAGTCAGAAGCACGGGAGGGTCAGAGAATTCACCAGAGCCAGAGCTGGGAGCAGAGCAGGCAGAGTGACGAAATACACTGGTGAGGGGAGCAGCGGGTGCAGTAGGAGAGATCTGCGTGCCATGTGGGACCTTCGCTGGCAGCCGGGGATCAAACTGGCGCTGCAGAGGCTGCAGGCAGCTTCGCAGCCCAGTACTCAACCGCTGCACCACGGGAAGGCCCAACTACTCATTTTATAAATGAGGGAACAAAAGCCTCCACACAGATTAGAGAACTAATGAAAATAACACAGTCCTTCAGCTGAACTTCAAAATCAGGGCCTGGGTTCTTAAACTGCTCCCACATAATAAAAGTTACCCAACACCGTGAGGGCAGTAGGAACAAGTGGCAAAGGCAGATAGATAGAGGTAACACATCTCTAGTGAGTTTCCAAAAGGGAATACCACTATTTGAGAGAAGGGAGAATTTTTAAGAAAATGGGGCCACATTTCTACCATGACAGGAAACTCTAACTTTGAACACCAATTTTGCCCCTTAATCCCACAAAGTCTAAGATATTTACTATTGGTGATTTATAAAATATGGCCAACACTTAGCAGAGTTAATGTCAAATCATTTACATTTTTTCTTTTAAAATTATCTGTTATGGGGCCTCCCTGGTGGCATAAGGGGTTAAGCACCACACTACGAAGCTGTCCGCAGCCACTGCAGCACGAGTTTGATCCCCAGCTAGCCAGGGAACAACCCACATGGCGCAGCAGACCTCTCCTGTCTAGCCCGCTGCTCCCCTCAGCACTGTATTTCAGTCAGTCTGCCTGTTCTGTTCCCTACTTTGTCTCTGGTGAATCCTCTCATCCCCCGCATCTCTGGCCTATACCCCAGCTCTTGTACGCATAAATAATCTTTAAAAAAGTATCTGTTATGTGCCCTCTTTTACCACTGTGATTCAATATTATACTCTAAGTTCTAGCCAGAAGAATGAAATAAGATGTAAAAGCCACCAAAGTTGGAAAGGAAGAAATAAAACTATATTCACAGATGCCATGACTCTCCATATAGAAAATCTTAAAAGAATCTATAAGAAATACCTAGAGCTAATAATGTTAGCAAAGTTGCAAGGTACAAAAATCAGCTTTCTTTTGTACATCAGTGTTTTTATATACCTGGAATACACAATCCCAAAAGGTACAGAAACATTCAAAAGAATAAAATACTTAATACTTAAGAACAAATTTAACCCAGGAGGCAAAAGATTTGTAGACTAAAGAGCATAAAACATTGTGGGAAGAAATTAAAGACACAAACTACTAGAAAGACATTCTGTTCTTAAATAGGAAAACAACATTTTTAAGATGTCAATACTATCCAAAAAGATCTACAAACTTGACAAAAGCCCTATCAAACTTCCAACAGCCCTATTTGCAAAAATAGAAAAAGTAATTCTCCAATTCATATGAAACTGTGAGAGGTCCCAAAGAGCCAAAGCAATCTTGAAAAAGAACAAAATCAGAGGGTTAAACTGTCCTGATTTCAAAACTTACTACAAAGCTACAGTTATCAAATCAGTATAGTACCACCAAGATAAGGGTGATGCTAAGAGTACAAAAATATCCATACATCTATGTACACTCAATAAGGAAACAAATCACACCTGGAGGAGTGGATGTCAACATGCAAAAGAATGAAGGTAGACTCTACCTCACATCACACACAAAAATTAACTCAAAATGGGTAAGAAATCTAAGTTAAAGAACTAAAGACTTAAAATTCTTTGAAGTAAATCTGCAGGATGTCAAATTTGGCAGTGGGTTATTAGATATATCAAAATCACAAACAAACAATAGATATGAATGGGACTTCATGAAAATTAAAAACATCTGTGCATCAACAGTGAAAAAGAAACCCATATAATTGGAGAAAATATTTACAAATCACATCTAAAAAGGGTTTAGCATCTAGAATATATAAACAACTCCTACTAGAAGACAAGTCACCTTAAAAACAGGTAAAGGACTTGAAGACATATTTCCAAAATTATACAAATGGCCAAAAAGTACATGAAAAGATATTCAACATCATTAGTCTTTAGGAAAATGCAAGTCAAAACCATAATGAGACACTGCTTCATACCGACTAGATGGATGCAGTTAAAAAAAAAAAAAAAAAAAAAAACAGAAAATAACAAATGTTGATGAGGACACGGAAGGAATTAGAGCTTTTTATATGTGGTGGGGATGCAAAGTGGTACCACTACAATGGAAAACAGTTTGGCAATTCCCTAAAAAGTTAATTTTATTCCTAGATATGTATATAGTCCAAAGAATTGAAAAGAACTCAGTAGTTATGCTAGATATCATGTTCAGCAGGGCATTATTTAGAATAGCCACAAAGTGAAGCAACCAAGTGTCCATAATGGGAAGAATGGATAAACCAAATGAGCTATTTTTTACACAAAGGAGTATCATTCAGGCATAAAAAGAAATGAAATTCTGACACACTCTACAACACAGGTAAATCCTGAAAACATGCTAGGTGAAAATAAGCCAAATACAAAAGTATAAATATTTTATCATTTTACCTCTAATATGAGGTACCTAGAACAGAACAGCCAAATTCACAGTGTAGATTAGAGGGTATTAGGAATTATGAGGAACTGGAAATGGGGTTACCACTTAATGATTACATAGTCTCTGGGGTGGTGAAAGGGTTTTAGACATAGTAAAGATGGTTGCACATCATAAATGTAATTAATGCCAGCGAACTATACACTTATAAATGGTTAAAATGACATAAAACTACAATATCTATGATGGGCATAGTGTGGTAGCACATTATCCTTAGAGGTGTGAACCTCAAAAAATCTTTATTTTATTGTGTTTGTAAGTGTAACAAATAAAACAATAAATGGAAACCACAATAAACACTTCTTTATTCTTTTTGTCCATTTTTGCACATTTACACGAAATTTTCTTTTCAGTACTTTATAGCTACTAAATTGTCATATATAACCCGAATTTATGCTCTAGATTTTTTTTTTCTTTTTTCCTTTTTTAAAGATTTATTTATTTATATAAGAATTGGGGTACAGGCCAGATGTGCCTGAGTGCAATAAACTGCTGAGGGGATCAGCGGGCGAGACAGGAGAGGTCTGCCGCGCCATGTGGGTCGCTCGGTGGCCAGCGGGGATTGAACCAGCACTGCAGCGCTGTATTCAACTGCCTGCGTCACCAGGGAGGCCCGCTGCTCTAGATTTATGATTCATCTTTTTCATGAAAATCTAACCTCATTGAGAAGCAAAACTTAGTATTTTACCATCAGTGGAGTGCCATTACAGCTATATACTTAAAACCTGCCTGAATTTATTATATAACCACCAAGGCAATAGAGTTTCTAAGCAGAGTGCCAAGCACTGCACCTTCCCATTTTATCTTTCAATCATTTTGCCATCTATAGACAGACAAGGCATCAGCTTACAGCAGGACAAGAAACTAAGATATTATGGAAGAGTTGACACTCAACTTTTAAAAATAATCCTGAAAAATCATTATAATTTTAAATAGCCTTTATCAATATAGTTTTATGGTTCGGCCACTAACAAGGTTGGCTACTCATTCTATCAGTTGAGAATTTATCCACATTCTTTTTTTGTAAAACAGCGTACTGACTCCACGGCACTCCCGCACCCCAACTCTACGTTAGATACATTGTAAGAACTGTGAAGATTTACTTAAAAATGAAGAAATTAAACAAAGGTGAGACAGTATAGTTATTTAAGAAGTCTGCATGAATGGAGTGGCGAGTAAAGAATTCCTAGTTAAAGAATGCAGTACTGCTTAAAAGACAGCAGCAGCAGGCTTGGTCTTGATCGAAACATCATATGCAGTTATATGATAACTCTGCTAAGTAGAGTTCAGGCATATTAGCATATGGAAACAAAAGATCCTTACTTGTGAGCCACATTTTTGGATGTGTAAAAAAATACTGGCAACTCTGTTACTTAATACAGCTTTTTAAAAAACTATTTATTGTTCAAATGGGTAAAAAAATAGAGAGAGAAAAAAGAAAGCAAATATTAACAGAAGAATCTGGGCAAAAGATTGAGAGATTTTTTTTTTTTAAATCATTTATTTATGCATACAAGAACTGGGGTATAGGCCAGAGGTGTGGGGAGTGAGAGGATTCACCAGAGATATCAGAACAGGCAGACTGACTGAAATACACTGCTGAGGGGAGCAACAGGAGACAGGAGAGGTCTGCTGTGCCATGTGGGTTAGTTCCTGGGCCCAGGATTGAACTCAGGCCTTAGGGATGACAGCACTAAAACTTAATCCCTAAGCTACCAGGGAGGTCCAAACCAGATAAATTAAGACTTTGAGAAACACCAAAACAATGATGTAGACAATGGACTCTAATGTGAAGAAAAGCATTATTTCAACAGCACTCCACTTTGTCTGAGGAATAAGGAGGAGCAAGTGCAGAACCAGTGGGTGGTGCTCACAGCCAACTCAATGGCAAAAGGGAAAGCTTTCTGGACTCCAGCCCCATGACTTCCTGAACGGGGTCTGCTGGGAAATCAGGGCACAGGAGCTGTAAGGTTGACCTTAAAAAGACTGTGCACAGGGGCTCCCCTGGTGGCATAGGCAGTTGAGCGCGGTGCTGTGTAGTTGAGCGCAGTGCTGTGGAGCTGTCCGCAGTCTCTGCAGCGCCGGTTTGATCGGCTAGGGTCCCATATGGCGCGGCAGACGTCTCCTGTTGTGCCCTCTGCTCCCCTCAGCAGTGTATTTCGTCAGTCTGCCTGTTTACTCCCACTCTGGCTCTGGTGAATCCTCTCACCTTCCCGCGAATCTGGCCTGTACCCCGGTTCTTGTATAAATAAATAAATCTTTAAAAAAAAAGAAAGACTGAGCACAGGCTAGCTGGTCTTATTTTGGCTTCCACTGGTACCCATTCTGGTCTCTGTTCAGCTGACACTATCTGCTGATGGTACAGAACACATCTTGAGCGTATCTACACTAAGATACTAAAAAAAAAAGACCAGTAAATTAAAGAAAAAATAAAAGAAAAGGGGGAAGTTAATGAAAAAGCGAATCTTTCTTGTTAACAAGACAGTGACATTTTGTAAAAAAGCTTACTACTGTGTGGTTCCACTGAAACCAAGGATGATGTGATCCCTGCCTTAGTAGTCACCATGTGCTGGGCAGGATATAGGGTCAGGAGAGTCTCAAAATTCTTCAATATTCTTCTCTCTCTTAGCTTTCTCTTTTCTCACTCCCTTTGTAAATCTGTTTCTGGGTCTTGTCCTATATTGTTAAGTACCTGGGTAAGGACTCACAAACTGGGTCATCCCATTTTCTGGTTGCCCTAAAGCACAACCCTTCCAACTAGTATTTCTTAACATAAAGCATGTTTTTCAGCCAAGTTAGATCACTCACTGTGAACAGCCCACATGTTCTACACTTTGGGCCTGTCTCCTGATGGAATCATATCTGGAAAGCTTGCCTGACCTCCCTTTGTCTAACCAAATCCTAGCTCTTCCATAGGAGGAATTTCAGGTTTCACCTCCTCCACAATGTCTACCATGTCTTTTATATCTTTTACTTGTCTCTCCTCTGAACTCCTATAACATTTATTGCCTGCTGTTATTATTCATAAATTGTTTTGTCCTATCTGTTCATTGAAAAAAAAAAAAAAAAGGCTGGAAGACAAATAGCACAAAAATTTAGGTTCAAACAAGGTAAAAAAATCTCAAAAATGATCGAGAGATTACTGTTAAAATCATTTTCTCTCCAATTTCATCCCAATTTTATAAAATAGTACAGCAAAATGCTTTTATAAACTACATCTAACTTAATTTGATCTATTTTTGCATAAACTCTTCTTCTGCCCATTTTTTGATTGTGTTATTTTTTGTTGAGTTGTATGAGTTCTTTGTAGATCTTCAGTATCAGTCCTATGTCAAACGTATGGTGTGCAAATATTTTCTGTTCAGCAGTGTCCTTCCATTTCAGTAGTTTGTTTCATTGTGCAGACGCTTTCAAGCTTAATGCAGTTGCAGTTGTTTATATTCTCTTTCGTTTTCCTTGCTGTTGGAGATGCTTCGCTAAAGACATCACTAAAGCTTATGTCATTAAGTGTTCTGACTATGTAAAAAATATGGAATTCTTCACAAATTTGCATGCATATCATGCTTGTTGAGAGGTCATGCCAATCTTCTCTGTACCATTTCAATTTTAGTATATATGCTACCAAAGTCAGTTTTTTTTTTTTTTTTTTTTGCATTAACTCATAGGACACAATAACCAAGCATAAGATGTTGGCTTTGTTGGAACTTTCCATAAGACATCTGAATTGAGCTCTCAACATTTGTTCTGTCTAGCAGTCAGGGGCCATGGCATGGAAAGGTCTTACCAGACTCCACTGGCAACATTTGTAGCATTGCTTAAGATTTTCTCTTCTTCATGTTCCCAAGGCTTTTCTCACTGGGGACTCTGCCTGCCAATAGAGATAAGCTTCCCTACTCTTCTGTGAGTCTCTGGAACCCTAAAGACAAGGTGGCAGGGTTTTTTCGTCTTGACTCAGTTCATTCTCAACTCCCAGAAGCAATCTGGTCTCACCTGTGATATTCCAATCAAAATGACAGTAATATAATCATGTTGGCAATTCTCTAAGGAGAAACAAATTAAATTCCTTATTTAAGTTATGCAAAGAGAGATATATTTTCACAAGTGATAAGACTGCCTATTGCCATTTTTACATATTATGATAGTATTAAGGAGAGAAAAAATGTAAACACAAGATAGTTCTGCTCAGAGATATAATTTACCATTGTTGCAAATGAGGAAGCAAAACATAAAATAGTATTTCAAGTAGAAGTCAATGAAAATTATATCCCTGGGGCCTCCCTGGTGGGGCAGGTGGTTGAGCGCAGCACTGTGAAGCTGTCCGTAGCCTCTGCAGTGCCAGTTCCATCCCCGCCGACCTCAGAGCAACCCAAATGGTGAGCAGACCTCTCCTGTCTCGCCTGCTGCTCCCCTCAGCAGTGTATTTCATCAGTCTGCCTATTCTGTTCCCCGCTCTGTCTCTGGTGAATCCTCTCACCCTCCTGCACCTCTGGCCAGTACCCCAGTTCTTGTATGCATAAATAAATAAATCTTAAAAAAATAAATAAAAATTATATCCCTCTTCCATTATCCACTTAGTCCCATGTAGAAAATGTTAGCAATTATTACAAGTCTGTTTTTTTCATAAGCTCCGCAACTTTTTTATTCTCAGTTTCATGACTATGGAACTATAAACACTATACTAGTATATTTGTCAGAGTCCTCTTTCTGTGAATTTCTCTGAATACAAAGCAAACTACATAATAGCTTCTATAAATGGCAGACTTTAAAATAACAGTAATTAAGACCTGATCATAGGGCCTTCCCGGTGGCGCAGTGGTTGAGCGCTGGGTTGCGAAGCTGCCCGCAGCCTCTGCAGCGACGGTTCGATCCCCGGCCACCGGGGAGGGTCCCACATGGTGCGCAGACCTCTCCTGCCGCCCGCTACTCCCCTCAGCAGTGTACTTTGATCCTTTGGCCTGTTTTGCTCTCCACTCTGGCTCTGGTGAATTCTCTCACCCTCCCCGCACTTCTGACTGTACCCAGTGCATGTATAAATAAATACATACATAAATCTTAAAAAAAAAAAAAAGACCTGATCATAACAAAATTGAGGATGTTTGCTCAATTTTGTGTCATACATCATTTTAGACCAATAAGAACGGCCTAGTACTATTATACCTGAAGACACCAGACTTATTAATTCAAATATATGCTAAATAGGTTTAACATTTTTATCTATGACAATGTTTTCCATGAAGTTTCAGTATTCCCACACTGGCCCAATTCAACTTAATATCCTTTTCCACAAGGAAACAATTTTTTGGGTGTCTTAGAATTCCTTCCAACATCTCCTGTTTTAAAAAATTAATCAAATAATTTAATATTTTACAATTTTGATTTTCAGGGAAGTTTTGTCACAGACTTAAAACATTTATACAGATTTTTATGAAACATTACTAACTGCCCAAAGTGACGAAGATTTTAAAGAGCACTTCTACTTCTGACAAAGCTCAGCAATGCTGACAGGACTAGATTTCTGTCTAATCAGAAGCCTTAAACCATCAGAGCTTCATATTAAACAGTTTCCCAAAGCTGCGCATTATGTCCCTCTTAGCAGAGGAAAGAAATTATAGTTTGGTTTTATAACAGTGTAAACCCCAGGGAAAGGGGAGGTTCCTGGTTGCTCCATTCTAAGGAAGGGTGGTGTTGGGCAGGGAGGTAAAGCTAGAAAAGGCTAGAAAAAGGACTGAAAGAGGAAGACTGGAGGAAAACCAGGAAGAGAAAATGAGGATAACATCTGGAGGAGGCATGTTGACCAGAGACAAGTGAAGAAACCATGCCTGCTTCTTGCCCTTGGACTTGTACCTTTGTACCTTTACCTGACTTTATTTTTATTTTGTTCTTTTCCTTCCAGACTTGCCAGGCCCCTTCTGCCCCTTTCCTGTGGTTCCTCACCAGAAGGTACCTTAGACTTTGGCAAGCGCTTGGGCCTCCGTGGCCCCACTTTGGGCTAAACCTGTTTGGCTGGGCATTTACCCATGAGGAGATGGGTAACTTTGGGAGTTTAAATGGAAACCATTTTAACTATTGTTTTTCTATTGTACACTAATTATCTATTGCACACTAATTGTGTTAAAGCTCTTTTTCATTGAGGGTCTTATGCACTGGAGAACCGGAATGCCCCTCATTCTGCCCTGTTACAGATTAATGTAGGTACATTACTGATATTAAAGCTGAATTAAAAAAAAAAATCCCTTAAAACAAGCCATTTGATAACATAAAACTATTTTCCTATACTCTTTCAAACCTCCCACAGCTTTTTGTGCCCATTTCCCATTACAAAAATAACCAGTTATTTTGACACTAAAACTTTCTTAACCCTCAAAAAAGGTATGCACTCCCAATATATTTTTTTCCCTAAACACAAATTTCACTTTACTTGCAAGCATAGTTATTCCATCTTTAACAATTTCTTTTTTTTTTTCTAAAAATTTATTTATTTATGCATATTAGAGCCAGGGTACAGGCGAGAGATGCGGTTGGGGGGGGGGGTTGGTTGGTTGGTGAGAGGATTCACCAGAGACAGCGGGGAACAGAACAGGCAGATTGACCGAAGTACACTGCTGACGGGAGCAGCGGGCAAGTCAGGAGAGGTCTGCTGCGCCAATGTGGGCTGCTCCCTGGCCGGCTGGGGATCGAACTTGTGCTGCAGAGGCTGCAGATTGCTTCATAGTGCATTGCTTAACCCCTTGCGGCACCAGGGAGGCCCCATCTTTAACAATTTCTGGACTTGTACGATATGATAATAACTATCATACCATCGTTGTAGCGAGTATGTAAACTTTATCACTTGCATCCCTATCCGATCCCAGCCTTTCACAGACGCAGGCTGCGCACCTCAGACGCAGGTAGATGCTAATGAAACGCACATCTTTATCAGACACCAGCTCTCCAAGGATGATGACATAATAGGAAGAATGAAAGTAAATATTTTTGTTGTGATAACGAATTTGCAGTGAAGTAAATATTCTGGTGAAAGATGTAAATATTTATGTGCATATGTTACTGAATATTGGATGTAAATGTTATTGAAAATGTTGAGAAAAATAAATGCTGTAACCTAGCTTAGAGAAAGTACATAAACTGAGCGATCGCAAAGCACTTGGGCTCCACAAAGCTCAGGACCAGCACAGCACTCTGTGCGACCAGAGGGGTCGCACCCCTTGGAGATCCACCGAAGAAGACCCGGAACAACGTTCGTAGGCTGCGGCCGCCGGTCATCCCTGCGGAACCCAGACCGAATTCGAGCCTCCGAGTTCAAGAGATTGAACTGGAGCTGCCACGTCCAGGGCGACTAAAAGTGAGGCTGTGGTAAGCTATCGCTTGAGGGACATAGCCATAGGGTAGTGCTAGACATGGTGTTTGACTGTTGTGCGACTTGTGTGAATAAAGCATATTGAAAGGCACTGTTTATGGTCAGAGCTTTACTGGCGACACCTATCCTGAGGAAGCCCACCAAGGTGGTCTGCTTCCCTGCTGGCGACAATTATCCCTTTAGACTGGAATAATTATAAGTAATCTGTCACAATTTCTAAAACATGTTTTAAAATTTTTCTTTTAGGATATGACATAGTTTATTCATTAAATTCTTTGGCTCCCTGTCAATAAGGAACCAAAGGTATATCTAAAGCTTCAGTAATTTTAGACAGAATGATTTAGACAGTCAATGAATTCTCTTTATTAAACTTAGTAAAAGCTTAATTTTGCAAAAGTTAGTTGGGAAACTACTTAATGACTAAAGGAACAAATTTAAAATGGAGTTACTGATTGCAAGTTTTCATTTCTCCTAAGGGTGGAGTTGAAAGCAACTTAGAGTAGAAAAGTTAAGGATGGAAGTTTCCTGGAACTGGAGGTGGGGTCAGAAAAAAATCAGAGGTGGGAAAAAAAAAGGATTACAGATGCAGAATCAATCTGACCCCAAGGTGAGAAATTCCACACTAATTTCATCAAAGGATGAAATTATATATAAGGGTGCCCTTTGCTCTAGCAAAATGCAGCTCTCTGCCCACCTTTGTCTATGTAGATGCCTCTCTTTCCTTTTCCTCTTTTCCTTGATAAATTCGCTGTGTGCTGAGAATGGGAACAACTGCTGAATTCTTTCTCAGAGGGACCCATGATGATTGGGATCATCTGAACCACACAAAACCTCCAATCCAATCTAACTGGAATTGCCTGAAACAATCATTTAACCCACTCTTTAACTTGGTTCAAATGCTTCAAGTTACCAAAAGTCTGAGAAACAAATATTCGTTAGCGATTCTTACCATCATTTGCTTAAAGCTCAAGCAAGTTTATATTGAGGTTTCCCACAAATGACTCCATTTTGGGGCCGCTTCTTTTGATATTAGCCATAGAACCGTATGAGCTCAATTCAGTTTCTTTTTCTCGTTGGATAAGTTAATTCTGATTTAAACATGGAATAAAACTTTAATGCTCATTATTATAATTCTCAGACATGAATGCTTTAAATTAAATCACTAATAGTTCTCATTTACCAAAACTCCTACATCTGATTTCTTGAAAAACACTGGGTTAGTTTCTATTATATTATAATTTACAAAATACTTATAACCCAATTTTAGAATCAATTCTATTACTGCCATCCAGAGATGAAAGACACAAAGGGAAAGACTGACAACAGAAAATGAGACACAGAGATTTCTTAATTTTCTTTTTAAAATTTCAGCCATGTGTACTGATTTTAAGAAAGTTATTTTACCAATATTTCTTAAGACATTGAGAACTTTCATTGATTCAATTTATAAACAGTTCTTAACTAACTCCTTCAGATAAAAAAAAAATCGTTCCTTAAATTTGCGTTTCTAAGAATGGCTCTTTGGTTGCTAAGATGGAGGGGCTCTTTGGTTGCTAAGATGGAGGTTGAAAATATGCCTCAGTTTCCTAAGACCTATTGCTTTTTCCTTCTCTAAAATCCTGCATTTTGGATTGGTGGACTTTGGAGTTGTTTCTGGAGTCACACCATAAGTTTGGTAAAGATTCCATTTGTAAGATATGGACAGCTTAATTCCTCAAAGAACTTAGGCTGTACCCTTTATATTAAGTTTAATACATCCATTAGCTACATTTTTCCCAATGTACTTTTCTATTAAAGATGGTAACTAAGATTCTTACATGCTAGAATGTGTACTATTTAGCTATTAAAACCCCTAGTGTCCAAGATTAGAACTATTCCAAAAAAAACCAAAGAAATGCCGTAGTCACCCTGAGGGTTTGCAATAGATATTAAATGAGGTCATGTCTTTGTCTTTGTTGAGCCTAGGGCAGTCCTCTGAAAGTTAAGAGAAAACACCTCATTCAATTCTATGATTTATCTTATGAAGGATGGCCATCAGAAGGCCACAAGAGATAGGCTGAGGTATATTTTCAGACTGTTCATAATGTTCATGAACATTCTATCATTCTGTGACCCTAATCAATTCTTACAAAATCTGAGGTTTTGAGTTTAGCGTGTAAAAATACAGTTTTGGAAATTCAAGAATTCTCCAGTGCCCTTGGTAGCCTAAGGGAATATTTGATTTAATGACCCAATTTATTGATGAGATTTTGTAAAACTAGGGCCATAACCAAGGTTTCAAGCCTAATTTGTATTATTTAAAAAAATTTCCCTATGGGGCCTCCCTGGTGGCGCAAGCAGTTAAGATGCAGCACTATGAAGCTATCCACAGCCACTGCAGTGAGTTCAATCCCCAGCCAGGGAGGTGACCCACATGGCGCAGCAGACTGCTTCTGTCTGCTCCCCTCAGCAGTGTATTTCAGTTAATCCACCCGTTCTGTTCCCCACTGTCTCTAGTGAATCCTCTCACCCCCCCATATCTCTGGCTTGTATCCCAGTTCTTGTATGCATAAATAAATCTTAAAAAAAAAAAGTTCCAATGGATAACCAAAATACTTCTCTGTATTTTCTTCTCTGCAGTTCCCTTGTCTTTACTGACTCAAATTTCTTCCAGTAAGAAATTTAGACTGAGAGAATTCGAAGTTTTTTAATACATCCAATAAACAATTTAGAAGTTTTATAACCAGTGGCTGAATCCAAAGACTATTAGAGGTTGTGCCCTCTGGAGGGGGCTGCTGGTGAGAACTGATAGCCCTAGGGAAAATGTGAACAAAGTATGGCATTTTGGGGTGGAGACTGATAAGAAATATATGGGACTGAAGAAACAGCCCCCAGGATTTGGAGTTTAGGATTCAGCATTTTCGGATGTCAGCGATTCCCGAGTCAGCAATTTCTGTCCCCCGACCATGCAGATCTTCCAGGAGGCTGTTGCAGGCCTCTGAAGAAAGTGGAGCGGCTTCCAGCAGTCAATCTCAGAGAGGAAAAGTTCAGAGGCTTTGCAGGTAGCTGAGCAACTGAAACTGTTGCCAGTTTTGCTGACCTTACAGCCTGGCAGGGAAAGCAAAGACCCAGAGTAGGCACCTTACTGAGCTGCATGAGTGTGGCCATTTGTTAGGTAGTTCAGTTGCTGCGGCTGCTGTTTTGAGAGTTTGAGTGTTGCTTGTCTGATGCTGTGCTGAGGCGTCTCATCAGCTCTAGGGAGCATCTCCTCTTGTGTCTTCTGTCGTCTTCATGAGTTGGATCATGGCCTATGATCTGGCTGCCACATGCTCCAGGTCTGCAGTGGCAAGAAGATGCCATCTTGGGAGTGTGGCCTATGGTTTGGGAGAGGAGTTCTGTGTCCTCAGTGGTGGAAAAACACCATCTTTGGAGTGTTTGTGTTGAGCACTTCAAAAACACTGGACACTACTTCGGGGGAGGTAAAGGGCCATTTTTGGCCTCAGCAACTCTTTCTTTTTCCCTGATTTGTTAAATAAATCCCATTATTGTTGTTCTCTCAACCTGAGTAGTTTTGCAATTGTGTGCATGGGTGAAGAACTCAATGACCAATAAACCATTTGGGCAGTGTTCTTGGCCAGTTTGAGGGCCCCTTGCTGCCCTGTATCAGTTTGTCCAATTTAACATCTATTTAGCCAACCAAAAAGCATTTTTTATAGCTTAAAATCCAAAGTAGTTTACTCTGGAGGCACAGTTCCTTTCCCAGACTTGGAAAACATTGGGGAAATGGAACGTCTACCCATGGAACAGAACAGACTGTACCTCAAGGTGGAAAAGACCATGTCTTGAATTGGAACATAAAACAGCACATCGAAACACAGTGCAGGAGATCATTTCTCAAAACAAAATATCCCAGAAAGAATAGTTCTTCATTTGAAGACTGAAAATAAGAGTCTCAAGAGGGCACCAAAGGAAAAAGCTAGAAAACAAATAACTTCTTTGGGGAGGCAGCAAAAGTTCTGGGAGAAACAAAAACCAATGGATCAATCAATACAAAGAACAAAAGTTCTTAAAATACTATAGATCACCCAAGAAGCTAGCTTAACTGATATCCAAATCTCACTTTCCAAAAAGGTTTGGACCTACATTACTGAACAGATACCAAGCAACAAGGTTTGTGGGCAAAATCTTAAAAGACAAACAGAAAAGAGAGAAAACAAACACCTTCTTGGGGAAAGCAACCAATATTAAGGTGAAAATTCTTTAAAGCCAAAAGGTTCAATACCAATTATTTGTTTTATCCAGAAATCCTTTTCTCTTATCCATTTAAACAGATTTCACATCATCTCTCGCCTTCGTGCTTCGTGGACAGAGATTCAGGAGTCTGACTTGGTAAGAATTCTTACCTTTTAGTCGGCTCTTGTCAGACATCCAGGATCTCTTTCCAGGGCAGCTTTCAGAATCGAGCGTCCAGCCTGTAAAATATCTTCTGGCTTGCTCGACAAATTGCCGGGAAGCAAAGGAAATCATCCTGTGCCCCTGTGGGTTCTTCTAGGCTGGGAAATAAGCAAGCAAGCATCAGACAGAGTCCTAAGAGCTCTTTCTGGCTTTCCCTCGTCAGTCAGTCTGATGCTTGTTTGATTATATGCCAGCCTAGAAAAACCCACGGGGTAAGGGATGCTTTTCTCTGCCCCCGCTCCCTCTTCCTAGCACCCAGCAATGGCCCAATCATGTACCTTAACACCGGTGACCATGTAAGCCCGTCGCCAACTTCTATACCCTTTTGAGCCTCACACACCTCACCCCAAACTCCTTCACCTCTTCTACTAACAACCCTTTGTAGTAACATGTCCTCACGGCCACAGCCCCAGGGGCGAGTTGAGCGTCCGGCCCAGCCGCCGGGTGTCCGCCTGCTCGCCGCTGGCCGCGACCCCCGGCCCACGTAGCGCGCACACGCCGGGTCCCGCCCGGGTCCCGGGAGCCGGCGTCTCCACCCCAGCCGCACGCGGCCTGCGCGCTCCCCCGCCCGCACGTACCGCATCGGTCTTCATGTCCAGGATCTTCTCCACCTCGAACACATCCTCGCCGTCCTCCTCGCTGTCGCCAACGGCCTCCGCCGCCTTCGCGGCTGCGTCCTTCTCTTCGCCCCTGGCTCCTGTCCCCTCTCCGTCCACTTCGGGCGATTCAGCGTTGCCGCTGGCGCCCGAAACAGGCGCTGCAGGCACGCTCGCCCCCTCCGCCGCCATAACGGGAGCCCCACAAACCGCCGAGAAAGTGCGGCGACGACACACAGCCCGGGGCTTCCAGCGCTCGGCGCCCGGCCCGCTTCCACTCGGGCAGCGTGACGCGCCGCGAGGGGAACCTGCCAATGGCTGGGCAGCACTCTGGAGTGTCAGGCGCATGGCCCAATCAGAGCCAAGCGGGCGCTGCCAGGCCGCGCGGAACCTGCGGGAAGTGGGTGGGCGGGCCAACCGGCTCCGGGCGGAAGGGCGGGGCAGGCGGCGCGGTCTGGACGGAGTGGGCGGGGGCGACTACCTGCGGGGAAGGGCGGGGGGGGGCCGGGGAACCTCCTTGAGGCGGGGGAGGGGCCGTGGGGGGCGGAACTTGTTGGGATTGGCCGGGGGAAAGGGCGTGGGTCGGAGCCCAGGACTGATTGGCCGCCGGTGCTGGGGCACAAACCGGAAGGGCTGGAGGCTGGCCCTTCGCTCCGGCTCCGAAGCCACCGCTGGTGGGGCAACAGCCTGGCAGCGCGCGGGCAGCGGCGCCACGACTGCTCCCGCCACCAGACGCGCACTGTGGGCCCCGGCTGGAGGCCCTCCGGGAAGACTTTCTAAGAAAAGGACCCGTCTACTGAGGGAGCGGAATGGCCATTGCAAAAACTGTATCATACACAAACACAGATATTAAATATATACATATATATTAAAGATTTATTTTTACTTATACAAGAACCGGGGTACAGGCCAGATGCGCGGGAGGGTGAGAGGATTCACCAGAGACAGAGCAGGGAACAGAACAGGCAGAATGACGAAAGACACTGCTGAGGGGAGCAGCAGGCCAGACAGGAGAGGTCTGCCGGGCCCTGTGGGTATTTCCCTGGCGGCCGAGAATCCAGCCCGCCCTGCAGAGGCTGCGGAAGCTTCACAGTGCTGCGCTCAACCTGCTGCGTCACAGGGGAGGCCCTATACATACATATTTAATCAAACATAATTCAGTGCTGAGACATAGGGCAAGTTAGGGTAATTAGGCCGTTTTAGGGACACTGCAGGAAGGGACCTGGGAGAATCGAGGAAGGCTTCAGAGATAAGGGCAGCAGGAGGAATGTAACTAATTCCACTAGGAAAAACAAACATCCCAGGACCAAGGACAACATTGTTAACGCTGGCTTTGGTTTCCTTCAGGTGGTAAAGGGAGGCAGAGATTGGAGAAATAGAGAATGATTTAATTTACCGACAACTTAAAAGGGCAGCTATTTAACTTCAATGCAGAGATGCTCATCCTGTTAGGGGGAAAGGATGTCCTGAGCTAATCCCATACAGGCTTTGTGGACCCCACCCCCACTCCAGACCAAAGCCATCAAGACATTGGGAAAGACAAATTCTGTCACCACCAAAGGGAAAGTGGCTGGGACCTGAGGGCGGCGTTAAGCAGCCAGGTTGGGTATAAAAACCAAACACGTGGGCCTTGGGGGCTCTTGCTCTGTCGCTGGCCTCCTGGCTTCACGGCTCCTGGCTGGCGGCCATCTCTCAGAGTGCCATTAGGGATTCCTGATCGGTGGATCGGGTAGGACGCATTTAAAACTTTGTCTCCCACTTTTCTCCCTGAGCTGTACATTTCCTCATTTCCCCTTCCCTTGTAAATAAGCCTTTTATTAACCTTTCACATGTGCCTACAGTAAAGTATTGATAAGTCCCTTTAAGCGCGCAGGTGAGGACCCACAGTCAGGCACCCCGTTTTGTATCGGGGCTGCCCTATAACAGCCCGAGGACTGGGCCATAAAGATAAATAAGTAACAAATGGGGAAAGAGAAAGCTGTTAGATAAGGAATGTGAAGATCCCCTGCTGGTAGCAAATTAAGTAAAACAGCCCAGAACTAACCAATCACAGAGAGACTGGTGGAGCTTTAAAATAATGAGGGAAAGAAGGTATATATTCCCTGAGAGACGACCCCAGTTTGGCTTCCTTGCCCCTCCCAGGTCTGGTTTCCTAGCCTGGGAGTCCCACTTTATTTCTGTTCCTTTTCTCCTCAATAAACTTTTTCTTTCTCTAAACAAACCTGCCTCTTCTCGCTTACATGCCTGAGCGTCTGCGAAATTCCTGCTGCGGCTTGGTGAGATAGCAACCCGTGGGGGTCTAGTGGCTGGGGCTCAGCGCTGCCCTGCAGCCTGGGATCCGTTCCTGGTATTAGGGGGAAATGATGTCCTGAGTTAATCCCATACAGGCTTTGTGGACCCCACCCCCACTCCTGACTAAAGCCATCAAGACATTGGGAAAGACAAATCCCATCACCACCAAAGGGAAGGTGGCTGGGACCTGAGGGTGGAGTTGGGCAGCCAGGTTGGGTATAAAAACCAAACACGTGGGCCTTGGGGGGCTCACTATCACTCGCCTCCTGGCTTCACGGCTCCTGGCTGGCGGCCAGCTCTCAGAGCGCCATTTTGGGATTCCTGATCCATGGATTGGGTAGGACTCATTTAAAACTTTGTCTCCCACTTTTCTCCTTGAGCTGTACATTTCCTCATTTCCCCTTCCCTTGTAAATAAACCTTTTATTAACCTTTCGCGTGTGCCTGCAGTAGAGCATTGATAAGTCCTTTTAAGCGCGCGGGTGAGGACCCACAGTCAGGCACCCCGTTTTGTATCGGGGTTGCTCTACAACACTGGCAGGGAGACTAGGCCTGACAATTCCGGTATCAGTGCTATTATGTTTTAGTTATTGTTTAAAGATACAGTTTCTTTTTTTAAAGATTTTATTTATTTATACAAGCATTGGGTACAGTCAGAAGCGCGGGAAGGTGAGAGAATTCACCAGAGCCAGAGCAGAGAGCAGAGCAGGCAGACTGAGGAAGTACACTGCTGAGGGGAGCAGAGGGCGGCAGGAGAGGACTGCACTCCAAGTGGGACCCTCGCCTGCCGGCCTTGTTCGAACCGGCGCTGCAGAGGCTGCGGGCAGCTTCGCAACCCAGCGCTCAACCGCTGCGCCATTGGGGAGGCCCTAAAGATACAGGTTTTAAAGAAATTATCAAAGTACAAACCTTTTCATGTTCTTTTTCAAATTTTTCTATTGAAAACATCGGAGGATGAGGCCTCCCTGGTGGCGCAGCGGTTGAGCGCTGGGTTGCGAAGCTGCCCGCAGCCTCTGCAGCGCCGGTTCGATCCCCGGCTGCTCCCAGGCCACCGGAGGAGGGTCCCACTGTTGTAGAGCAACCCCGATACAAAACGGGGTGCCCGACTGTGGGTCCTCACCCGCGCGCTTAAAAGGACTTATCAATGCTCTACTGCAGGCACACATGAAAGGTTAATAAAAGGTTTATTTACAAGGGAAGGGGAAATGAGGAAATGTACAGCTCTGGGAGAAAAGTGGGAGACAAAGTTTTAAATGAGTCCTACCCGATCCCCGATCAGGAATCCCAAAATGGCGCTCTGAGAGCTGGCCACCAGCCAGGAGCGGTGAAGCCGGGAGGCGAGTGATCGCGAGCCAGCGAGAGCCCAAGGCCCACGTGTTTGGTTTTTATATCCAACCTGGCTGCCCAACTCCACCCTCAGGTCCCAGCCACCCTCCCTTTGGTGGTGATGGGATTTGTCTTTCCCAATGTCTTGATGGCTTTAGTCTGGAGTGGGGGTGGGGTCCACAAAGCCTGTATGGGATTAACTCAGGACATTATTTCCCCCTAACACCACATGGCGTGCAGACCTCTCCTGCCGCCCACTGCTCCCCTCAGCAGTGTACTTCAGTCGGCCTGCTTTGCTGCCCGCTCTGGCTCTGGTGAATTCTCTCGCCCTCCTGCGCTTCTGACTGTACCCCGTCCTTGTATAAATAAATAAAAATAAATCTAAAAAAACAAAAAAAACGGAGGATGTGATAAAAGGATTTTGTCCAGGTTACGAATGATTGCAAAAATTGTTATCCTAAGTTGCTAGGAAAATCCACTTAAGGTGAAAATATTTTTTTCACTTTGAATTGAAAATAAGCAAATAAAATCCTTATGGCAGATAGCTTTTAAGTTTTCTTTTTATTTGGTGGGACTTTATTGACAAGATTAACTGTTGCAAGTAAATTCTCTGTGAAAGGAAACTGCTAAGCAAATAAAAGCTTTACTGTTTCCTGCTAAAGAGTCTTGGGCCTGGTGCAGTAAATAATGCAAAGTAAGTGTAAATAACAAGTTTGCTTCCTTAATTAGCATATCTAAACAAGGTTACATTTTAACAAGGTCTGACAGCTGGCCAGGCTGATTGATCTCCCAGGCCATCCTAGAATATCTGCATCTTTTCCCCCTTTTGTCAAGAATTTTTATGCTAACTGATGTTATCAATGTAAGATGGTTATGTATTAAAAAAACCCCTTTGTCTCTAGAGAGGTGCTCAGACCTTACAAGACTACCCAGGTCTGACACCTCATGCATGAGTAATAAAGCTGCTTCTGACCTCACCATTCCTGAAGTACCACTTGTTCTTCCCTTGACTGGATAAAAGGCTACAATTTATTTCTGCAACATCTGATGTTAATTAAAGAATAATTATGATCTGGCAGATCCCTTGAGAGGATCACAATTGATTAGTTTGGCTTACTAAATTCAGCCTGTGCTTACATAACTATACCAGCCATTAGAATACAAAAATTAATAGGTCATAGTCTCTATCTTCCAGGGACTTCACAGTCTATAAAGGAAGACATGGGACAATTCTTTTTTTTTTTTTTTTTAAAGATTCATTTATTTTTATACAAGAGCTGGGGTAGGCCAGAGGTGCGGAAGGGTGAGAGGATTAGCCAGAGACAGAGCAGGGAGCAGAACAGGCAGATGCCGGAAATACACTGCTGAGGGGAGCAGCGGGCGCAACAGGAGAGGTCTGCCATGCCATGTGGGAATCTCCCTGGCAGGCCGGGAATCGAACCTGCGCTGCAGAGGCCGAAAACAGTTTCACAGCACTGCACTCAAACTGCTGTGCCACTGGGGAGGCCCAACATGGGACAATTTAATTATTATATATATATATATTTAGATCATATGCTCAGTATTTAATTACATATTGATACTGGAATTGTCAGGCCTAGTCTCTCAGGAGACTAGGAGACTAGTCAGGAACGGATCCCAGGCT